ATAATTAATAATTTAGGTTTGGACATTCCATAAATATTATTTAGCTAACTTAGGTATTTTAATATCACTTGTACTAATATAACCCTTTATTTCTTTGTAATTTTACATACCGAGGCACTAAATGACTAATATATTCCTAACTTTTGATTCGTTTCCTTCAATTAGCTATTGAATTATAAATGTATTTTAAAAGTTGATAACATTTGTATTTCTTATCGGTTTTACATATATAATATATCAAATTAATCATCTTTTGATGATCTTCGATTTGACATCCATATTGTATGTATGAAATACATAAATTATATTTATCTTTATAATAATAAAAATAATAATATTTATTAAAATTCATTAGAAAAATAAAATTATTGCTCAATTGATATGTTTATGTTTAATGTAGTTATATGTTGTAAGTTTAAAAAATTATTATAATATAACACATGTAAGTCGCACAAATAAAAAGTGTCATACTAAATATATAATAATATATATATTTTATAAAAGGTATTTAAATTTTCATCTACTTTTTCTCATTAATTTTATATAAGAAAAATTTAGCAAGCACCCGTGTAAATAAATTATACAACACCCGTGTATTACACAGGTGCTTGCTAATTTTTTTTTTTATATAAAATTAATGAGAAAAAAGTAGTTGAAAATTTAAATTTATTTTATAAAAATATATATATATTATTATGTATTTAGTATGACACTTTTTATTTGTGCGACTTACATGTGTTATATTATTATAATTTTTAACTTACAACATGTAACTACATTAAACATAAATATATCAATTGAAAAATAATTATATTTTTCTAATGAATTTTAATAAATATTTTTTTATTATTATACGATAGATATAATTTATTTATTTCATATATACAATATGGATGTCGAATCGAAGATCATCAAAAGATGATTAAATTTAATATATTATATATGTAAAACCGATAAGAAATACAAAAGTTATCAACTTTTAAAATACATTTACAATTCAATAGCGAATTGAAGGAAACAAATCAAAAGTCAGGGATATATCAATCACTTGGTGCCTCACTATGTAAAATTGTAAAGAATTAAATGGTCATATTAGTACAAGTAAGCAAATCAAAAGTCATGGATATATCAATCACTTAGTGCCTCACTATGTAAAATTACAAAGAATTAAATGGTTATATTAGTACAAGTGATATTAAAATACCTAAGTTAGCTAAATAAAATTTATGGAATGTCCGAACCTAGATTATTAATTATTAATATATCAATATTATTTGTCTAAACCTAATTACGAAGCATGATTATCCGCCAAGTAGAATTCCAAAGCACCAGAAGCAGCCACGTAGACTCAGCGCATTCGAAAATTAAATATAAGGAGGATCATATACAAATCAATATTGAAAAAAATAAAAAATTGGATAAGACAAAATCACATAACATCTTTACAAGTTCATGAGATTTAAAGTTGAATATAAGATCTATGTCGCACATAGACATGGCCACGGGTCAACCAGCCCGCCGACCCAGCCCGGTTAAACCCATTGACCACGGGTTTGAGCTCGACTCGGATTTCAACCGGGCCAATCCAGGGTTGAGATTTTTCGACCCTGGCCCGGTGGGCCGGACCGGGTGCGGGCCGGCACGGAAAAACATTTGTTTTTCAATTTTCTTTTTCTTTTTTTTATTAGGACGGGCCCAAACCCGGGCCGGGCCATTTTTGCTAGAAAAGGATAATTTCATAATTTTAAAATCTTCCATTTGTGAGTAAAAGCCAAATTAAAAAATAAAAGCACCTCCCTCTGTCACCATCAATTGGACTTGTTGGGTGACAACTGAAAATGATAACTCATAATCAATTTCATCTTTATCCCCATCGTTATCTCCAGACTCCCAGCTATGCTTTAAATATGGCTTTCTGAAGCGCACACGCTATTTTCGATTTGAGGCATAAAATCGAATCG